TAATCAAAATTGGGACTCTACAAATGGTATTTGGGCTTTCATTGTCATCCTTAGCCTTCTGTAAACTGGGTGTTCAGAAATTAAGTTCTAATACACTTCCCTCCTCTGATCTTGGGTTTCACCGTTTGCAATCCTTGGATCTCATGGGCTGGTGTGCTTCTCCCGTGTGGACTTAGCTGGCACCTCACGTAGATGGCTTCCTCACTTAGATGGCTTCATGTTTAATACAAACCTTTAAGACCCCAGACACTATCCTTTCTGATAGCTGAACATCATCTGATTTAACCTGTGTAAGTGAATGCTCTATGTGTTTTAGTCCAATACGCTTTCCTATACATGTACACATTCCATTGCACACTAGAATTTTACATTTTGTACCATTAGCTAGATTAAGGATATTATTAATAGAATTGCCAATTGTCCTCTTTATGCTGCTCATATTATTTTTCAAGAACCTGATAATGCTGCTTCTAAAGGAGACCAGGGATATATGTAAACATTAGATATATGAATGACTTTTGAATTCACACTTGATCGTAAGCCCTAATTTAAGAATAATTCACTCTTATGATGTAGCCTTGCTCAGTATTTACTCTCATGAAGTGATTGCTGAAAATGTGGGTGGTATAGCAAAGGTTTATTTAGTTTTATTGTTGCTTTCCAGATAAAATTTAAACTCATTAGCATAAACACCCCAACGTTCCATACTCTGGTCCTTACTGAATTCATCAGCCTAATATCCTCTTGCTACCTTTGAATGTTCTTCCTTTTTCTTCTACTTTTGTTAGCCTGAATAAAGACTGTGTACCTTTTGAGGGTCATCTTAAGCCTTCTCTTTACCAGAAAGCCTTTTCTAACCCTTGATAACTTATATGAAAATTCTGAGTTCCTTGATCATAGTGCTTGTCAATACTAGGGAACTTGATGTATTATAACTTTTTCTTTTTTTGTCTAGTTTTCCCTAAAGCACAAGCTTTTGAGGACAAAGACTGTATTATTAGTTTGAGTCTTGGTTCCTAATAGATGATTGCTGAATAATCAATTTCTTGATCCTCAAGGGAAAGTAAAGAACAGATGGTCTATTCGTGTCCAGTTCTGCCTCTCAAAATATAATAGTATAGGGAAAATTTAAATTTGGGTTTAGACCATTTACATTTGATTCCATTTAATTAAAAACCAACGCAAAAACTTATGTTGCAAAATCAATTTACTCTCAGCTCTAGTTTCGTCATCATTATAATCTTAATTCCTGTTACATTACATAATTGCCTTATGTTGGGTCTTAAGTGGTACGATGTATATAAAGCATTTTAGAAAAACAAATTGGGAGAGGGAGCACTAGAACTGATTGTGGTAGCACAACTCATGTTAAAAGTGAATTATCCAATGGTTGTGGGGGTGGGGAGGGGTGGGTGGCTCTAAGATTGATGTGGTGGTGACTCTACCTTGATATGATTGAATGATTGAACTATTGAATTATATGATATGTTAATTATGTGTCAATAAAACTGTTGGAAGAAATTTTAAAACCTCAAAAAATGGGGGGGAAAAGATGTAACAGTCTGTCACTGTTAAAACGGATACCCTCGGCGGAAACCTCATTCGATAGTTCTATCCTATCCTATAGGTTTAGTGTGAGTCATCATGGACTGGACAGCTGGGTGTTAGCTTCTTTGTGTCTCCATTTTCTTCTCTGTGTAATGGCAATCGTAAGCATTCCCAATTAGGGTTGTTGTGCGGCAGGTATACAAACCAAGCCTACTGCCATCAGGCCGATTTTCATCCATAGCTGGACTTACTGTAAGAGAGAGTAGAACTTCCCCATGGGCTTTCCAAAACAATAAACCTTTACAGAAGCCGGTGGCACATCTTTCTTCCACTATCAGCGAGAGGGTTTTCAGCGACTGGATTTTTGGTCAGTCAGCTTCCATAGAGGTTGACAGACTTGGAAACCCCAGGGGGGCTGTTCTGCCTGTCCTCCAGAATCAGTACTAGTCCGATCCATTTTGACAGCAGAGGGTTTGGTTGGTTTATCTTCTACATACCATTCATACATACCCTTTTGAAAGCATGTTATTGACACATAAGTCACACACCCTTACAGTTCAATAGTTCAATCAAATTAAAAGGAATTGTGCAATCATTGCCACAATCCGTTTTAGGATAATTTCTTCTTTCTTATGTTGTTTTGCCCTAACCTCTCCTGCTCTGTCCTTAGGAAATTGTTAATTCAGTTACTGGCTCTAGAGATTTGCCTATCCTGGACTTTCCCCCCCTGGATTTTATATACAGAAAAACATACAAAATCAAAACAACCAAGAACAATGACTAAATAAAAAGACAAAAACCTAATTCAAAAAGAAAGCATGAAATATTAAAAAACCGGAACAAATTTAAAATGGATAAAATGTATATCAAATGATAACATGACAATTTAACCTAAATAACCTCGGCAATGATCCACTTTACAATACACTGATAGCAAAGCCATTCACACCCTTGGTCTGTGGGCAGAGGGGATTCTCTGGAGGTTTAATCATGAAGGGACAAGCTTGTAAGACGCCAGATTCTATTCTTTCTGATAGCCATCTGGTTTCCTCACCCTTGGCTATAGTACCAATATCTTGGTACAGTGATCTCTTCCTGAGGGCAGGTATTGACTAGGGCCATGTCCTTAAAACGAACTGTTCTACGATTAGTGCTATGATTAAGTGCAAGCTCAAAATCTATTTATATGTCTGTGCTTTATATATGTCCCAGTTTTGCTTTAGAGACATCATTGTCAATTTTTTTTAGAGAGCATTATAAATCATCCCATGGGGCATATGTAATCCTATTAATATCATTAATTTTGTCAATAATATAGGATTTTAATCATGGTTGATAAAAGGAAATGATATGTGTGTAGGAAAGCTTTTTAGATCAAAATACCTGGGTTGTTCACTTATATGGAATAAAATCTTAAATGACTGGATACTATTTACACAAACATTGAGAATTGGAGATATGGCAAAATTTTCAATAAAACTCATTCACAAAGGCAGAAACATGCCTGCTAGACTAACACATGTCAAAACAAAAAGCAAAGAGAACATGAAAATAGTAAATATCTGGCAGTCCGAGCCTCCATTCCCTCAAAGTAAGAGATCGAATCAAAGTCCACCTACCAAGAAACCTTGGGATAGCAGTCACTGCTGCTTCTCCACGAGAGCACTTCAACCTTAAGTCTAAGGGAGTATTTCAGTTTCTCAAATCTGCTACAGGTGAGTGTAAGGTAAAGTCCAGTTCATAGAGTGGGGTTTCCAAATGAGGTCTTTCCCGTGTGGCCGATGAAGGACACAGTCTTTATTCACCTCAAACATAATATAGACCATGGGAAAAGATGATGGTAAAGCTCAACATCGGCAGCTTAAAATAAGCCAGGTGTCCACTGTGTAATGAACCATCAATTGCTCATGTGAAAGTTTAGGTTGAAGGTGAAAAAAGTTAAAACAAGTCCACTAGAGTCAAACTATAACCCTAGGTATATCTCACATGAATTTATTATTATTATTAATTGTGAATTAATACATATATCATGTCATTCCATAGTTTAATCACATCATGCAGTATTATACAATTGCTTCCCAAATCAGTTTCCAAACAGTCTTTTTCTTCCGGGACTCCTTGACAAATTATGTCTTGGTTCTAATTAAGGTACTAGTATTGTATTGTGGACACTTGTATAAATCTAATGAAGCTAGGCATCCTATTATATGTACATATGTATTCAAAATTTGAGTTTACTTCTCAAAAGTTCATGAGATAGTTAAGGTTTATTGTGCCAATCTGGCCAGTAAACACATGTGGGGTTAACTGAAGGGCGGAGGGATAAATGGCTGGGTGAACCTCGCCTTCCTAGTTCTTGGGTCTCTTGCTCTCTGATGGTCGGACCAGGGTGCAGCTGCCTTAGCCAGTTCCCTGCTTCAGCTGGCAAGGCTCACTTTCTGGGAGACATCCCTGAGGAGAAGCCTACCCCGATGCAGCTCTGGGTGCTGGAGCAGCCACGTGGAGACTCCTGCCAGCACTGAGATGCTTACGTGCTCACTGATTCAGTTTTCATCTTGCAGTCGGCATCATTGCATGTGTTTTATGAGATTGACGAGGATTTTGTAAATTGGTGTCAGACATATGGGCTAATGTTGGACTTAGGTGCTTGGATAGCACTGGGTTGGGATACTTTCTTAATGTTTATATAAAACTCTCTTATATATAAAAAAAAATGGACAGAGTCTAAAGTTCCAGTTGTCTTATAGCACGAGGCCTTGGTCACAAAGGGCTCGATAGAAACTAGGCCCAAAGTGTCCAATTAGGAACATAATATTGGGCATGTTATCCCCTTGGGGGTCTGTATAAGTAATATTAAGCGTTTTTCCCACCTGGTTTACCCACCGACAGTAGTGTAATAGCATTCTCTGAGACTCAGGCCCTTCCCTCTATCTCTTGATTTACATTTCCAGTAAGATTCACTGAACACTCTTGTGGGCGTATCTTTTGCTTTGTGGTGACTGTAGGACAGTGTTATATGCCAAGAACTAATTAGTCTCCTCCCACTCCCCACATCATGAGAAATTGACCTCACTTGAGCTATGGCCTCCCCTGTCAGAGTGGTTTTCAGGATGTAGGCAGGCACATTGTGTCCTTTTTCAGGAGACCAGATTAGAAGATCGCACGACCTGACAGCAGAACCCTGCCTTTGTCTTGCTGTTTATCCTTATACTAGTGAATTCATACAATATTTGTCCTTTTGTCATTGACTAACTTCACTCAGCCTAATGGTTTCCAGCTCTATCCATGTCATGAAGTGCCTCATGGAAAACAGACATATTTTCAGTAAATTAATTCATGATGCATAATGAAGACCATTTCAAGGGTTTTGCTAGCATGCTAATGCTTAAAGGTCATTGATATGTAAGGTTCTGTATGTCAAAAATTAATTCTGATCATTTTTTGTTTTTCAGTGTCCCCTCACATGGCAGAGTAAGTGGGAGGGCCCAGAAGATCCATTACAATACCTCAGAGGTCTGGTAGCTCGTGCCCTTGCAATACAGGTAAAATTAAACAATGTCATTGCACTGGATAGCGCCCTGGTGGCATAGTGGTTACATGTTGGGCTGCTTCCACTACAAGGTCAGAAACCACCGCTGCTCCTCTGGTGAAAGAGGCTTTCTACTCCTGTAAAGAGTACAGTCTCTGAAACCCACAGGGCCAGTTCCACATCCTGTTAGGTTGAGTCAGAATTGACTAGATGGCAGTGAGAGAAGAGTTTTTGGATATTGAATGATTATGTTAAAGATAATTGTTATGATGGTTCCTTAACCATAACTTTTAAGGTAACTTTTTTTTCTAGTGAGAATGATATTAAAATTTTGTACGTAAAAATATAATTTCTCACTCTGACTTATTTGATTTTGTTAGGAAAAAAGTGCTTCTGCTTATTGTAACTTTTTCTCTTTGAGAATTTTAGAGAAACATCTATAATTTTAGTAGATATGGGTCATATAGGTGGTATCTACAGCTTATATTTACAGCTGCAGAATTTGTTTTAGAATGTATCCCCCTTGGGGAGCTGCTTTCTTTCTTTTTTCCGCCCTTCAAATAGATAAAGATCTTTCAAAGTAGCCCGATCAGGTTACTGCAGGAAAATTGAATGGAGTAAAATAGTGCAGAGGTAGAATGACAGAATGCATTTATTTTTATTTTTTCGCAATAGCAAATAGTACATGCTAGTGATAATTGGCAGTGGGCCGGATGTTTGGTTTTTCTTTCCTACCCATGTTGAAAAGCATGTCTTTGAACACTTGTTGCCCTTTTAATCTCGCCTTGTTGATTATGGTGAGGAGTGGCTATCTCCCTAGTAGTGTTCATCTTATAGACTGAAAATTGAGTCCCAGGGTGAGTTCAGTTCCAGGCCTGCAGTGTGACAAAGTCTCTAACCAGTAAACTTGGTTTCTTTTATACATTTGAATTTTACATCACATTTTTCTCGCATTCTTTCCAAGATCTTCTAAAAATGTGATCCTTTTCAGAAGATTTGGCAGTAGTAGCTGGTCACCACCTAGTTCTTTTGATATCAGGGACACAGAGGCTTACGTATTATTCTGTTGGACTAATTATTTCCATGTATCTTCAATTCCCTTCACTGTTTTTTGTTGTGATGGGGAGACACCAGTAGTTAGACTTTAGGTGGCTGTTCAGGAGCTTTTATGACCCGTGTTGCTCTTCACCAAAGTAGGATGTGGAACATTATCTTTGTGGACTGTGTTATGCCAGTTGACCTTAGTGTCCCCTGAGACTGTGATCCTGGGATTCCATTGTGTGTACGTACCATACTTTGTTTATCTAATTATCATACTGTGTTTATCTAATTATCAATTGATAGGCCCTTAGAATGCTTTTATCTTTTTTGCTATTGTAAACAATATTGGTATTAGCAAAGGTATGCATTTGTCTATTTTCAATATGGCTCTTATTTCTCTATGATATATAACCTATTAATGGTCATGCTAGATTATATGTTATTTCCAGCTTTTTAAGGAAACACCATACCATTTCCACAGTGGTTGCACCATTTTACAATCGCATCAGCAGTGTCAGAGAGTTCCCGTCTCTCAATCATCTGTTATTTCCTGTGTATTTTACATTTGCAATTAATTCTGGGATGAGATACTATTTTACTATTTTAATTTGCATCTCTAATAGCTTATTATTGTGTGCATTTCTTCATGTGTTTGTTGGTCATTTACCTATCTTCTTTGGTGAAGTATCTGTTCCTGTCTTCTGTCCATTTTGTAATTGAATTACTTGTCTGTTTCGTGTTGGGTCTTGAACTCTCACCCAGCTCTCACTCCCTTTGAGTGGGTTCCAACTCACTAAACCGAAAACCAGATTCACTACCATCGAATTGGTACTGACTCAGAGTGACCTTAAGGAGACCTAGTAGTGTAGTGCCTATGAATTGGACTATAATCCACATATTCAGAAGTTCAAAACCACCAATAGCTCTGCTGCTGAAAGTCTGCTGTAAGCAGTTACAGACTCAGAAACCCACAGGGGATTGATAGGATTCAGCCTTGACTCTTTTGCAGTGAGGGATTTTTTGTTGTTGCTTTTTTAGTAAAAGATCATTTTTGGGGGACTCTTACAACTCTTGTCAATCCATACATCACTTGCATCAGGCAAATTTGTATGTATGTTGCCTTCATTCTTTTCTAGACATTTACTTTCTATTGAGCCCTTGGTATCAGTTCCTCTTCCCTCCTTCCATAACCCCTTGATAGATTGTACATTGTTATTTTGTTCATATCTCACACCCCGGCTCCCACCCTTCCTCCATGCTTTCTGTTGTCCTTCCCCTGGAGAGGGCTGTTTGGTTTGTGTCAGTCATTGCGATCGGTTCCCTCTTTCTCCCTTCTTCTCCCCATCTTCCCCCTACCCTTCTAGTATCACTAGGTCCACTCCTGCTCCTGGAGTCTGTGTGTCGTGAGCTCCCATCTCTTATCTATACCTGTGTACATGTGCGGTCTAGTCTGAATTGAGAAGCAACACTGGCATCATGGTAGTGGGGGGTGAGGAAGCCTCAAGAAACCAGAGGAATATAGTGTGATTCCTCGATGCTTTACTGCACCCTGGTTGACTCAAGCCTTCCCTGTGGCCCCTCTGTGGGGAGATTGTTCCATTGTCTAAATATGGGCTTTGGATCTCTGCTCCAGCCCCCCTCATGCTCAACAATATAATTTGTTTGTTATATGGCTGCTGATGTCTATTACACGGTCCCTATGACTCCTCATGATCTTGTTGGCGGTGTGCTTCCTCCATGTGGACTTGTTGCTTCTCTGCTGAATGGTGGCTTGTCTAACTTCAAGCCTTTAAAACCCCAGATGCTGTATCTTTTAATAGCCAGGCACCATCCACCTTCTTCACCACATGTGCTTATGGACCCATTTTGTCTTCAGCAATTGTAAGGAGGGTGAACATCTCACACTGCCGATTTGTTAGAACAAAGTGTTCTTATATTGAGGAGGGTATAAGCAGAGGCCCGAAGTTTGTCCCCTGCCTCAGTGTATTGCCATATAAATATATGTACATAGGTCAATACCTATATTTTTGTGTATTAATGTATTTACATATGTACACCACTATGTTTATACCTCAATCTGTTGCTTTGCCTCTTAGGTCCTTCCTCTGTTTCCTTTTACCTTCCTTCTGCCCCACTGCCATTTCCCCCTTATTTCTGCCTTTTGCTACCTCCTCTTAGCTAGTTTGATGTTGCTCCAACACCCCCAACCGCAATTCCTATCTCGTCCTTGTTATTGACTCTGATACCCTAGTTGTGTCCCCTGTCTGTGGCGCTGTCTGCTCATCACCCCCTTCCACCACGGCCTTCACCCCTCAGTTCTCCCCGGGACTGTTGGTCCCACTGCTTTCTCTTCAGGTGTGCTTCCCATGCCTACCTTATGTAAGTAGTCACACCGACGTTCAGGTGAGTTTCCCATGCCTACCTTATGTAAGTAGTCACACCGACTATGACACAGCCCAAACCGATTTAAAAAAAAGATTGAAATGAGAAAAGGGAAGAAACAAGAAGAAAAAGAAAAGGGAGAGAGAAAAAGAGAGAGAGAAGAAATATACAAAAATCCCAGATCTGTTCGCTGGCTTTCATGACTGTCCAGGAGCTGACTCTCCTGCCCTGGAGTCCCTTTGCAGGGCTCCCCAGGGCTTCATAGCTTTGCTTTGCTCCAGCTGCTCGTCTGGTATGTTTCCTTCTTGGTTTGCCCCGCTGCGGGGGGTGGGGGTGGGGTTCAGCCTGCAAGTGAGGGTTTTTTTGCAGGGGGTTTCATAGTGACTTAGTAGAACAGCCCTTTGTCCAATATGTCTTTGCCACAAAAAAAAAAAAAAAATCTCCGAACCTGTAGGTTTCTCCTTTTACACTTTTAATGTAATCTTTTGATCATATAAGTATCTAATTTTTTGGCATTCCTAATCATCTAATTTGACTTCTGCTGTTTGTACATTGTGTTTGCAGATAAATGCTCTACCTCTGAGCTATATACCCCCTGTACATAGTGTTTGCTAACGTGTTTAAACCTTGTATTAGGACCCCTAATTTTTCACCTATTTTTTTCTTTGATGAAAGTTACAGATGTAGAATTTTTATTTTATTTAGATCTTTGATCAATTTTGTCTCAAATTTTTCATGTAGTGAGAACTATGGAACCTGCTTCAGTTTTCTGCAAATCGTTATCTTGTTTTGTCATTACTATTATTAGAGATGGTCTCTTCCTTATTCTGTTGGTTTTAGCCCTTTGTCAAATATCAACTACCAGTAAACAGATAGATTTACTTCTGGGTTTTCAAATCAGTTGTATTGGTGTCTGTTTCTGTCATTGTACCAATACCATGGTGTTTAGACTGCCATGGTTGTATAGAAGGTTTTTAGATGGGGAATATTGGGCTGCCTACTTTGCTTCTTCTTCTTTGTTATTCGTGGCTCTTTCCTTTCCAGATAAAGTTGGCAATTAGTGTTTCTGTTTCTTTTAAAAAGGTCAATGACCACAAGGTGTAGAAGGGACCAGGTATCAGACATCAAAGAACAAAAAATCATA